ATGGTATCAANACACACCATCAATTTGGCGCCGTATGTGGGAAACAACTGTTCCTGTTATAAATAAATTGATCTTTCAGTGACTGATGGTATCAACGCGAAACATGAGCCGAAGTAAAACAAATCCACCACGGATGCATGATCAACAAGAAGCTACTAATAGCAGACAACCTGAGAACGTCCAAGAGACCAATCCACCCGTAGGGGGTCTCTCCATGAATAACGAGATGGAGGCCCTTCGCCTCGTTAATCAACGCTTGTTGAAACAAAACGAAAAACTNTAGGGAGTCTCTCCATGAATAACGAGATGGAGGCCCTTCGCCTCGTTAATCAACGCTTGTTGAAACAAAACGAAGAACTCTTAAAGCTCTTACAACGCCCACAAGAGGCGCGACAAGCTCAAAAAGGCCAGAACAACCCACCACCTAGGGAGCAACCACACCTCGGCCCCCTTAGGGAAGTCAACGAAGAAGGAAAAATAGCCAAACCATAGGGCCAGAACCTCGCATACCCCCTAGGAATGGACACAACGAAGAAGTACAAAGTCAGAATGACGGGGGCGAGAGGAACAATTTTTTCCCCTATCAACAGGAAATGAGAGAACGGTACTGGGAGCAGTGCTTCCAGGGTATCCAGCAAGAACTCAGCCACATGAAGAAATCCATGAAAGGCAAGGCTCCAGTTACGATGGATGCCTTGGTACAACAGACTGAATCTCTGTTCACCACTGGCGTGTTGCATTTTCCCCTCCCTCTGAAATTCAGAGTACCGCAGATAGAGGCTTTTGATAGAACAAAGGATCCCGTAGATCACCTCAACACTTACAAGAACCAAATGAAGTTGCATGGATATTAGGATCCAGTGCGCTACAGAGTCTTTGCCATCACGCTGAAAGGCTCAGCCCTGGTGTGGTTCAATAGTCTCCCCCTACCTCAATTTCCCCCTTTAAGGAGCTATTCATATCCTTTGTATCTCACTTCATAGGAGCTCGAACGTACAGAAAGTCAAGTTACTACCTGTTGAATGTGAAGCAGGGACCTCAAGAGAACCTCAGATCCTATGTTCAGAGGTTCAACTCTGAATCACTAAAAGTGGATGTCCCAGACGAGAAATTTGTCATTACTGCATTCATAGCTGGTTTAGGNCTCGAACGTACAGAAAGCCAAGTTACTACCTGTTGAATGTGAAGTAGGGACCTCAAGAGAACCTCAGATCCTATGTTCAGAGGTTCAACTCTGAATCACTAAAAGTGGATGTCCCAGACGAGAAATTTGTCATTACTGCATTCATAGCTGGTTTAGGCATACAATATAAAGACCTGATGTTCTCTATTTCGAAAAATCCCCAGGCCAGCATGGCTGAAGTATTGGCCAAGGCAGAAAAGTACATAAACGGTGAAGAAGCTCTCCTCTCAAAAGTGGGGAGCTCATCTATGCAAAAGGACAAAGGGAAATAAGAGAAAAAGAGGGACCGAAGTCCCAGAAGAGAAAGAGGACAAGATAGGTCCCCAAAAAGAGACAGAGATCGATCCCCTAAAAGAAAGGGAGATGTCAGAGATCGCTTGGAACCACCTCATCCAAAGTTGCAGCCGAGGTACGCACCTCGACAGGTCCCTCCACTCACCGCAACAATATCACAAATCTTGTATGAGGTACAAAATGAAAAATTCCTAAGGTGGCCACCCCGGATGAAAGCAGACCTGACGAAAATTTTACCCCACTCCTGGAATGCAGAACATCTTAGGAAATTTTTTCAGTAAGTTTGTCCTATAATATGATTATTAATAAAGCAACAAGTTTGTAGTTCATTCACTCTTACGAAGAGCCCGGGAGCTCACGACGAACTCATTAGTTCGTAATAAGAGTCTTAGAGCTCACGATGAACTTGTTAGTTCATAAAAAGAGCTCGGGAGCTCACGACAAACTCATTAGTTCGTAATAAGAGCCTTAGAACTCACGATGAACTCGTTAGTTCATAAAAAGAGCCCTAGAGCTTACGACGAACTCATTAGTCTGTAATAAGAGCCTTAGAGCTCACGATAAACTTGTTAGTTCATAAAAAGAGCCTTGGANCTGTCTTAAGAGCCTTAGAGCTCACGATAAACTTGTTAGTTCATAAAAAGAGCCCTGGAGTTCACGACGAACTCATTAGTCCGTAATAAGAGCCTTGGAGCCCACGACGAACTCCTTAGTTCGTAATAAGAGCCTTAGAGCTCACGATGAACTCGTTAGTTCATAAAAAGAGCTCGAGATCTCACGACGAACTCATTAGTCCATAATAAGAGCTTTAGAGCTCACGATGAACTCGTTAGTTCATAAAAAGAGCCTTGGAGCTCACGACGAACTCGTTAGTTCGTAATAAGAGCCATGGAGCTCACGACGAACTCATTAGTCCGTAATAAAAGCCTTAGAGCTCACGATGAACTCATTAGTTCATAAAAAGAGCCCTAGAGCTTACGATGAACTCGTTAGTTCATAAAAAGAGTCCTGGAGCTCACGACAAACTCATTAGTTCGTAATAAGAGCCTTAGAGCTCACAAGGAACTCGCTAGTTCATAAAAAGAGCCCTGGAGCTCACGGCAAACTCGTTAGTTCGTAATAAGAGTCTTAGAGCTCACGATGAACTTGTTAGTTCATAAAAAGAACCCTGGAGCTCACGTTGAACCTATCAGTCCATAAAAATAGCTCAGTAGCTCAGGACGAGTTCTTTTATCCCTAAAGCAAATGCAGCAGCTCAGAATGCGCTTCCCAGTCTAGAAGAACTAAAAGCAAGAGTTGTAGCACGTAGACTAGAAGGAAAGCTTCACAACTTCTATCCATTACAAAAAGAAAAAATGGGGGTCTTCGGTCCACAAGCCAAGAAACAACATGGAAGATTAGCTGTCAGATTCTCAAAGCCACAAATTGTGTATAAGAATCGGCAAACATGGAAAGGGAAAATCAGGGTTTCAAGAACATCAAATATTACAAAAAAATCAATCAAAGCAAAATTCCTAGTCGTCTCTATAGTTTGACTATCCTCTCTTTCAAACGCAAGTTCTCCTCCTCCAACTCATCCCTCTCCTTCTCAGTCGCTAACAGTAGATCCATCAATTTTTGCCCAGCAGAGGAAAGCAGAACTTCCCCCAGGAAAGATCTGGATGAAGGAAAGGATGAACCATCCCTCTTGCATTTCTTGATATGAGTTCTAGCATCGTCGCTCTCATCAAACCCGGTAGAAGAAAGATCAGATTCAGGAAAAAAGTGTTAGTCCCGTTCAACTGCAGTGGCGCTAAACAAGAACAGATTATCTAGCGTCATGAGATCAGGAAAAGACATGGGCTCAACTTGGGTCATTTGTTCTACCCTCATCAATTCGAGCAGGTTCAGGTCAGGAGCACCTACATGCAAAAAAAAAATTCCCGTGCAAACTTCGAAGTCGCTGATTGAAAAACCATTCTACTACATCTTAAGCTCAGCCCTTGCCCAGGTCAGCTTGACCAAGAGTTGGGGGGCAACTGATGATACTTAGAGCAATTCTCAAGTATGAGCTTGGAAGCGGAGGTCAGACGCACAGAGCTCATAAAATCATAGTAAAGTCCAACCCAATCGGAGCAGCACTAGAAGTAATAAAGAGATAGCTATTTGTCAACAGAAACCCTAGAGGCAGCAAAAAGTCATAATTGAAGCATAAAACTCTCATCCAGGAAAGATCTCCTCCTAAGATCAAGGAGGATTCCTCGGATAAATGGCAAAGATCTCGGGGCAGATCCCGCAGAATTAGGAAAAGCCCTATAAATACTATGTAACGCCCCCAACAGAGGGGGCAGAACCCTAGTATCACATCTTACATTCTATAAACTTTTTGGTATAGTAAATAGTGAAAGAAGGAGCAAGAATCTCCATTGAAGAGTAGATTAGTCAAGCTCCCGAGCTGGTGAACTACTATATTTCTACTGTGTTAATTCTCCAACTCCCCAACAATTCTCAGTATCATTCCCTCGAGTCTAGTAGCTTAGATCCCAATAATTTCAATATTGTTTCTTTCATTTACTCGTCATCACAAAATTGCATCACATTGAAATACACTATCATTATCAAATACCTTTTAAGGTATAAATGTAAACACATAACATGTCTAAACAACACTTTGCTCATGCAATCCATATCAAGCAATTTCATCAACCTCAATCACAGAATTGTTTTAAACTTATTCTTCTAACCATTTTCATATTTTAACAACTCTATGTATGTGTTATACATGAGATTTTATTTCTAACAGTCTACCTATTTCATATTTTAATTCTAGATTGGAAATAAACCTAGTTAAAAAAAAAGAATTCTACCTCTTATAGTGTATATCTAGAAGATCCCAAATCAAGCTTCAAAACCTTGATNTTAAAAAAAAAACTCTACCTCTTATAGTGTATATCTAGAAGATCCCAAATCAAGCTTCAAAACCTTGATCTCAAAAATTTCATCTTCGAGATTGTGACAAAACTCATAATCTTTGGTATGTATGTATAGTTCTCGTCGTGTAGAATAACTTTTGTTTTGACTTGAAGAGAGCTGACGGCCGAATCGCCATAGATCGAAAATAAAAGGTAGAAGAATTTTTTATTTTTCTCCCTCTTCTTTCTCNTAATCTTTGGTATGTATGTATAGTTCTCGTTGTGTAGAATAACTTTTGTTTTGACTTGAAGAGAGCCAACGGCCGAATCGCCATAGATCGAAAATAAAAGGTAGAAGAATTTTTTATTTTTCTCCCTCTTCTTTCTCTCTATCCAAAAATTTCAACAACAAATTGGGAAGCAATCTGATTTTTTTTCCTTTTTTATACTCTTTAATTGCATGGCTCACAATGTGCCACACCCGTCATGTTCTTTCTTAATCCGATTTTATCCTTAATTAATTAAATTTTATCTCGTTTTAAGCTCAATACGTTATTGAACTAACTATAATATAATTCGGTAGATAAATTCAACCAAAAAAAAAAAACAATGAAAGTCCAGGATAATTTAAAACAAATATCGTAGTTAAGATGTATAGTCCAGAACAGAAGCTTTATTTGCCACTCGCAGTCTTCATCTCTGCGCCTTCTCTTACCAAAGCAAAACGGCATCGAATTCGATTCTCTAATCACCATCCAACTTTAGATCGTGATTCCATAAAGCTTCCATGTCTCGCTTTCGCTCTCTTATCACTCTACAACTCATATCCACCATCAACGGGTAATCTTAACACACAAATTCGAATATTTGGATTAATGTATTGCAAAATAACATCAAAATGCGAGGCAATTGTAGTTTGTTCAGTATTTGATTTTGTTTAATCGATACAAAAAAAATCATGCCACAGCCAGAACTTTCGCTCGGTAACGCTCTTCGAAGCATTTGTATGTGTTGAGTAGTTCAGAAATTGATGGTTTTCTTCATTTACTTGACGTGATTGTGATACTTTTCGTGCATTCTATGCTTTCTTTGGCGTAACTCAATCGAGATCGTTTCCGTGTATTTGCTTTATTGCTATGCTAATTTTTATCCGTATCGGAAATTCTACTCACTAAGATGGATTTTGGCTCAGGTTTGTAACCTTTCTTCCCTCTCCTTTTGTGTTCGTTCGAATTGCTTTTTTTTTAACAAAGAGTTTTATGTAGAGCTGATAACAAGGTGTTGTCATTATTCTTGGAATTGTTGAATGGGTTGCATACATTTTCTAGCATGAACTTTGAAATCTGAAATACTTTGACTCTGTGGTTTGAATGAGAATTTACCACAATAATGTTGTTGGGGGGATGGATGGTAAACAACTTTTGATGTTTCAATTCTGAGAAGGCCCACGTTCTATCCCTCCCCATCTCTGTCTCTCTCTCTCTCCCCCCTTTTCTCCCTGACCTGCAGATATAGAGACCTCAGATACAACTCAACAAAGTTGTCCCAATATTTTTGGGGTCACGCTAATTTTGGAGACCTCATATGTTCCCCGANATTTTGGAGACCTCAGATACAACTCAACAAAGTTGTCCCAATATTTTTGGGGTCACGCTAATTTTGGAGACCTCATATGTTCCCCGAAAAAGAGAAGATTTGAATTTGGATTTTAATACCTAACTTTCAAAAAAAGTTATTTGAATTTTTAAAACAATACTTTGCCATGTTATTACAGATCTTCAATTTTGGGGATTAGACGTATGTTCGTGGATTCTTTTCACAAACTAATCCTGCGTTATAAGGGCCTTTTCAAACACTGGATTTGGATTTGTGCCTCCGTCAAACTTGAAAATCTAAATGCTGCCTAAGACTGATTTTTCAAATTGTATAGTGTGATTCTATTTTTTCCCCTTTCTTAGGTATGTTATACGTGGTGTATGCATTTTTTTGTTGGCTGAGATTTCTACATGTTGATTGTGTTCTTGGTGTTTGTTGCATCTTGCATGTGATCACATCCAATATATGAGAAGAGTGTGGCTCTGTTCTGTTTCCTTGTTGCTAAATGGAGTGGGAATTGTTTTCTTGATGGATGTGTGTATCATTAAGTTGTTTGTTTTGTGTACAATTCGGTGGCTTTGATTATAGGAGAGGAATGAGTTTTGTGTAGCCAGCCTATTTCTTGAAAAGTTATTATTTTTCTTCATTTTTGGGAAATGATCAAATTGGTTTATGATGATGCATAATCTTTGTGCTTCTAAAGTAGAAACGAATACACCTTCCCTTTGTTTAAGAGGCAGCCTCATTTGTGTTGGCGAAGCAAAATGTTTTGAACATTCCAGTTTATCAATGTCTTCTGGTTTTAAAATGGTGGAATGATGCTGTAAGCTAATGTGCTACAGGTATACCTGGAGATGGAAGATGCCTGTTCCGGTCTGTGGTTCATGGTGCCTGTCTAAGAGCAGGACAGTCATCTCCAAGTGAAAGCCGTGAAAGAGAACTTGCTGATGAGCTCAGATTGAAAGTACAAGCTAATTTCATTTCTTTTCCAGGATTTCTCGAGTAGATAAATTGTTTATTGACTTCTTATATCTTAATGTTGATTGGCCTCGACCTACCAGTCCATGTCTAGTGGTGTAGTTGTTAGTTTTGGAGAAAATAGAATTATTTTTAAGCTTCTATTCTTTCTTTCACCTATTAGTCTTATCAGTGTGTTACTTGTCCATGTACTTCTTTTGCTGCTTAAATTGTTCAGATTGAATCAACATGTCCACTTGTCTTTCTAATTCGATCAGTTTCCTCATCTAATTTTTGTTTTTTATCTTCTCATGGGTAACATATCAACTGGTTTTGGCAGGTTGCAGAAGAATTTATCAAAAGGCGAGTGGACACCGAATGGTAACAGGAAATTAAGAATTCCATGTTTAGATGCAGCATGCTATTAGTTCAAACTTTCAAGCTATTAGTCAGTCAAACAAGTTGTTTCCACCTCAAGCTTATTTCCTACGAGTTCTAATGATTCTGATTGACAATGTAAACCAGTAATATGTTCAGCTTTTTATTTTAAGGTTTCTTAATAGATGTGTTGTCTTTGTCTTTTAAGTCTCTCTGAAAAGGTGGGTTTGTGCAAAACACTAAAATAGTTTATTGTAGCAGATATCATGGGGAATATACTAGTGATTGATGTCTACCTAAATTCTACTTTGTGCCTTTTTTTTCTCATTTAAACCAGGAAATTCATATGCCAGCAGCTATAATTTTTTATTCATGCTTTCTCAGGTTCCTTGAAGGTGATTTTGACACATATGTTTCACAGATGCGACAGCCTCACGTATGGGGAGGAGAACCTGAGCTGATCATGTCATCACATGTCCGACGGTGTTTTTTCCCCCTCCTTGAATTGCTTTATCAAATATAGGCATTACAAGTCATAGGATTTCGTAGGTGCAATCATAGAAAAGTAAATCATGTAGAAGTTATTCTCCATTTCTCCCAAGGACTTGGATATTTGTTTAAAGTGATCAACTATAATGAAATTGCACTTGATTAGTTGTATGATACCTAGAGTTCCACAACTAAATTGCAAAATTGTCTAACCTTTATTGGCAACTTGCAAAGCTTTTTGCACTTAGACATGATTTATTTGTTTCCAGGGTTCCTATCACGGTTTACATGCGGGATAAGAAGACTAGTTGCCTTAAAACTATAGCTGAATATGGTCAAGAGTATGGCAAGGAAGGCCCAATTCGTGTTTTGTATCATGGTTATGGGCATTATGATGCATTGCAGGAGCAGGGTCCTTCTGTTGGCCCTCAACCCAAATTGTAAGATCCCTAGCTCTCTTTTTATTTGTGCTTTCATATGAATCTGCACCTGATAAAAATGCATATGCAATGCCATATCTCTGGCAAGTATACACAAATATTTAAAGAGGATGTTTATATGTATGATGGTGAAAAAGGGTTTAGCACCTCTGGCTTTTATAAATATCTTTTTGGCTCTTACTGCTGGGGTCATGCGTATATCGAAAATGGTCAGAAGATTATGGAAATATATAGGAAAATATTGGTGCGTGATCACAAGCATTCTCATATGCTTATGATTTTGGATTTGGAAGTTTTGGGTTGGTAAATTAGGTGCCACTTCATGGTGGGCTAGCTATGGTATAATTTGCTCTTTCTGAAACTAGGGAACTAGGATTGTCATTGCAGGTCAAGTTAGCAATCATGATATAATCCTATATGATTCTGTAATTCTGTATATGCAATAGGATATGTTGTCCCTATCTTAAATCGAAACCTCTGTTGATTACGCATGTGGATTCAGAACCTTGACACCTTGTAAATTTTTCGTGTTAATGTTATTGTAAGAGGTCAAAACCATGAATCTAGGGTTTCGATCCCTCGATGATTACAAAAGGAAGTATCATTTTCCCTTTTGCTTCCATAGTTCATAGTTGGATGCTGCCTCTAAAATTGGATGGTTCTTTAATGGCGTCAACTTCTTTAATGATCATTAAATGCAAGCTTGCTTTAAAGTTTTCATAGTACCATGATTTCGCACTGCATCGTCCCCCCCCCCCCAACATCCCACCCAAAACAAAAAAAATGTTCATTTGCGGCGTTCTAAAATTTCCTGCCTGGGGATCTTTTTCATGTACGTAGATTCTATTCCTCAGCTTATTCTTGTAATTAGCACAAATAGTTTTTCACGTTAATCCAATGATATCCTTACCAGAGGCTTTTCGGGGTGTTTGCAGGAAGAAGAAAAGATGAAAGGTTATGCACCAAGAAATATTGTCATTTATGAGCATCTTGAACTAAATTCTTCAGGCAGGTGCGAAGTGATGACATAAGGGTTCCTTGTATTTGTAACCGTATGACAACATACTCAAGTTATTTCATCGTGGGTTGAACATGGATAGGAGCTGACCGCACTGTAAAATATTTTTCGCTTTGGACTAATTTCAGTGTTTTATAATGCATTATATAATAAAGATCCAATTTATATTTATAGGAAAACTACGATTGTGTTTTTTTGATCAATTACAATGTTGCGTACACAATCTTATCTGGTGTATGTTGAGATATTTATGTGATTTGAATCTATGACATTTGGAAGGAGAACACTTTTAAAGTGAATGTTATCATGTTTTTGTGATCTTTTTGCCTTGGCTTTTGGCCAGTTTCATGGTTATAACTAGGGTAAGACAGTGGACGGGGCGGGTAGATAGTTTTCACCCTTGTATTTGTTTTAAAAATATTTGTTCACTCTTGATTCACTCCCGTTAGCGGGAAATATTTTTATTCCCCGTCTTCGCCCCGTGGATAAATTATGATTTTTGTTCTCGTCTTCGTCCTTGCAACTATCTTTGTTCATAATAATTAATTTTTATAATTTTAAGAAAAAAATCGAAAAACAAATTTATAAAACCTCACAAATGATTATGTAAGAAGGATGAAATATCATTATATAATAAATGGATTAAAAAAAAATAAAGTATTTTTTTAATTTTTTATTGGAAAGAGGAGTATGCACGAAGGTGGGGTTTGTAATATAGTATGTATGTATTACTAAGTGGGTGGGAGAGTAGGTGGAGTTTGTATTTTTGTGATATTATATATATCACGAGTTTAGTGGAACGGGGATGAATTTTAGTTCATCTCTTTCTCTATTCTTGTACGAGTTTATACGAATATCTCTATATATGTCAATCATTCAATACATATAATTCATCTTTGATTCAAATAATATGAGTTTAAACGAATACTTATTTTTCTTCAATTCAATGTCATTCTTACTTATGATGGTGGAGTGGGCCCCACATAAATGGGCAGGCAAGTCTCAATTCTGAACCAAAGGATAGGTATTGTTGAAGTTGTTCCAGACGCAGATACCCACAAGCTGAGATGAGAGGAGTTTAGCATTTGGATGAAAACGGAGGATGTTGGGTTGGTGACACTACAAACTCANTATTCTAGACGCAGATACCAACAAGCTGAGATGAGATGAGTTTAGCATTTGGATGAAAACGGAGGATGTTGGGTTGGTGACACTACAAACTCAGTTGGGATTGTAACTCAAGTCTTAAACCATCAAGGGCAAATTTCATTTTACCCCTTTGTGGTTTGTCCTTAGAACACATCACCCCTTTATCGTTTAAAAATATGCAGATAACCCCCTTGTGCTTTAGGACCAAACTGAACAGCTAACACCGTTAACAGAGATAGGAAAAAGACATTCCTATCCCTCGGTGTCTTCCGCCCTATCTTCCTCTTCTCTTCCATTAAAGAACAAAATAACTACCGCCCAGCTCCACTCCACTACCCGCATCCACCATTCTACCACTGCCACCACCACCTAATCATCCCCACTGTTCATTAACACCACCCCCACTCTCCATTAACAGCACCCCAATGTGAACAAACATTACAATCACAATTCAAACAAATTGATTAAACTCAAAAAAGACATACCACTGAGAGAGAGACCCAGAAAGAGGAGGTATGTGATGGTCGGTGTACTAGTTACGGCGACGGTGGGTGGTTGCANAATTAATAAGTAATTTAAAATTTGAAAAGAAATTAGATTTAAGTATGAGTAGATTATTCAGATCTAATTTTAGGACTAGCTCATCTAGATCTTCATCTAGTACTATACCTCATATAGTAAATGAAGAAGAATATGAATGTGAGTAAAAACAACCTAATTGGTTAGGATGGAATATACCTAAAGTTCCTCGTAAAGAAATTTATAAAACTATTTGTTGATTGATAACAGTTATTTTGGACGATTCGGTTTTAGCTTCTAATTTTTTAAATAGTTGATCAATTTGTTGGATATTGATTGAATCTTTGATTCCTAAGTTAGATCTATCTTCAGGTAGTTGTATTAGAGATTTTTCTAATTTTTTACCAGAAGATGGTCTAATTTCATCTAATTTAGTTTCAATTTTGTCTAACTGTTTTCCCATGGTTATAAGGTTTTTGTTAGAAAAATTATTTTGTTCAACTATTTTTCTTTCAAACTTTGCTAAACTATTTTGTTATGTTGTTTTCTTTTTAGATTCATTTGCAGGAATCTTAAAGGGTGAAGCAATAATTTCAGTATTCATATATGGTAAGGAAAAAGTTTCAACAGGGGGATGACTAGCTAAAATTGTAGCTGTTTCAGTCTTCCATTTGTGTTTTGTGACAACTTTTACCTCTGTATAATGGGTTTTTAAAAATGTAAAAAACAAAATTTTTGATTCTATTTTGTACAATATTTTCACCCAATGTTCTCTAATTTGGATTCGTTCTTTACTGTTGAATCTCTGATGAAAGTTTAGTCTATTAGATTCATTTCTTTTAGACATGTAATCTTTCATTAATTCATCCATTTCGGGCATAAAGAATAAATCTTTTTGTAACTTAATCATTGTTACATGATGACTAAGTGAGCGGTTGCTTTATATATATATATATATGCAAATGCTGTTTGGATGAATTGGGCCAATTCGGCCTTGAAAACTCTTTGGCGTGCAACTCCCCTCATATCATCATCCATTGGGCTCAATTAATTAGTTTGTACACCTCCAGAATCAGCTAATTGGTCCGGACATTTTCTTAAACAAACGATTGGGCTGTATATCATGCCCTGAAAGGGGTTAGTTAGTTTGGTGAGCAATTACCTCCAACTATCCACACTTGTATTNCATCAATTATTCGATAATCAAATTCGAAAGGTTTTTACCGCTTTCTCTTCTTTCCAACACTTTCGGACTGATCAGCTCAATTTTGTCATCTAGCTTGAACAATTTCAAAAGAACAAGAGGGTCTGATGACAAAAAACTCTCATAAAGTCTTTAAACAAATATCGCTCTAAAAGGCACTGAGAATTATTTTGGTGTTGCCTAAAGGTTCTATTTTTGATTTGGGACCTCCGTCAATAGACGAAACTATCTCCTTATCATCTCGTGTCAAATACAACAAAGAATGAGTTTTTTTTCCTTCTTACAAACCACAAGAGCGCCTAAAATTTGGATTAATACAGTTTAATAGATAATATTTCAATTTTTTTTGCACAATCTGAATTTTCACAATTACAATAGTTCGAGGGGATGTGATTAGACTTTAATTTCGACACCGCAATAAATGTAGTAAAATCTCCAATAAATAATTTTGTCTTTGACATAAGTACGATGAGATATTATGTAAGAGCATCTTAAACTAGAACTCAAATTTAAATTAACATTTAAGTAAAAAACTTGATTTAATACAAAAAGGTTCCAATCTGATGAGTCCAAAATTAACTGGGTCAAGCCCAATTAATTTAAACCGAGAAAGCCCAATTAAAGCTGGGTCAACCCATCAAAAGAAGTCCCAACTATCGGAGCCTAAAAGGAATTGAACCTACTCACAAGTTAAGAAGGAATCAAGTGAAGTCCAAGCCAAAGGCCAACGCCCATGGCTTACCTCCCTGTCCCTCTTCTCTACTCCAATACAAGTCCAAGTCCACACCACTCCAAGCCTAAGCTCAAGATCCGGATCAGCCCAGCTTAAGATAGTCCTCCGACAGAATAAGGACACGAGCGAGAAAATATTAAGATGCGGAAATACATTCCTACTAAGGTTATACTTATCAAGATAGTGAAGGACCCCTTCCTCACGTCACCGACTCACCGCCTTGGTGTGCCTATATAATGTAAGTCCTCTACATGTAGAGGATGAACTCTCATAGTCTGGAGATCCCTACACATACTACACTTTCCTACACACAATGTTCTCTCTCTCTCTCAAAAGCACTGTAATACTTGTTGTCCGAATTTAATATTGACAATTTATATGCAAGTATACACAATCAACAAGTAATAAAGTAATAAGTAGAGTATTGTTCCCACGGAAAAATATTGCTAATAATATCCAAGTACTAACTTTGTATCAATTCACTTTTATTTAAGCAATTGGACTTGAACTATGGAATGAATAAATTAAAAACTAAATCTAAACTTAACAATCAAGGGTTGAATTTACTAGAAAAAAGAAGTTAAGATTACAACTTCCCCTAATGCTTCGTATAAATCTTTTCACTCTCTTTCCAGTTAATTAATCAAAATAAGTTGTTAACTGAGAACTCAAAGTTATTTATCAAACATCTTCCGATAGTTAGATAAAGTTATCTCTCCCAATTAAATTACTATATTCCTATGCAAAATAAGTTGGAATAGATTCATTAAGTTCAACTCTCATAAAAGTTACACACGACATATAGGTATATTCCTATCCTATACACAAATCTAGGTATTCAATCCTAAGAAGAATTAACAGACGCATGTCATCATATTCAGATCTATCCCTAGAATTCATCTCCCAATTTCATCTNAACATACTCCTTAATTTTACCTCAGGTCATGACCCTTTAAATACATGTACATATCCGAACTATCTATCTAGCCATCACCCAAATACATTTACGTAATCAAATGCTTCATAGGAGATACTCAATCTCTCGTCTATAAACTTACGTTTTACATCAACCTCCGCTTATTAAAGCAATCATATAACTAGAAGGTCAAAAGATTTATTTTTTTTTCAAATAACTAATCATATCCAATATTTTTCTCAAACTTATATAAATACCTTAATTCACTTTGAATGATACTTAAATAAGTCTTCTAAAGTTTCAATGATATCTCTCACAAATATTTAACCAAATANAGAATGAAAACTTAGTTTTAGTCTTCAATCCTTCTCTAGCCTTTAAGTCTAATCTTCTTCATGTCGATTCCTTCAATTCTTGTCTATAATTATCTTCCAATTCTTTGATTTTTTCAGATGTTTTCAGCCTCCAAAAGTCAGAATATATCATCCCCACACAAACCCTAGCATATATGTAGCTTTAGAGTCCAATTTCGGGTCAAAAATAAGTCAAAATTCGCGTTACGGATCAACACAAGCACGGGGGCGNATATGCAAACACATGTTATCTAAATGCATACATAATAATGCAAATGCAAACAAGAAAACACCCCCCCTAAACTTAAACTAAACATTGTTCTCAATGTAAAAAGTAGAAAAAATTAAGACAGAGAACTTCCCTGAGACTTCGCTAGTCGATATCATCGTCAGCGTCCTCATCATT